CAGGACTGTACACTAACACAAGCAATGCGGAACAGCATAGTTTCAGGCGTTCGAGACTATCGCCATCTAGGGGCAGATAGGTACAGTGGCCGTTGGAGCGGAGCGGAGGGCGCGGCTCTTGCCTCTTAGATGCCTAGACTAGATGCAGGGGCGCGGGAACTACTTTCAGACTGGGGGAGCGCACACCATAACCCGCGCACTGCTGGGGGGAGGGTGTTTGAATACCCCCTGTGGTTTTTTCGCGAACATCTTGAAAGCGGCGGGGCGGAGAGCATATACAAAATGTACATCTCAGAATTCTGATATCGATAACCTAAGGTCCGTTCAATTTTGCGACCTCCCCATTATAAGTCAATGGGAGATAACTGAAATGCGCCGCTTTTGGACGGAAGCCATTATAAACACTCCCAAACACTGAATTACAAGTAACTTAGACACACTGAACATGAAAATGATGTCCGTGACCCCTGTTTATGCCCCTGAGGTCATCTCAGGTCACGAATGGCATCTAACAGTGTTTCGCAAATTACTTTTGATAGAGGCATGCTAGAGCGATGAAAACGCCTCAGTTGTGTTCAGCTCGACGATTCGGATCGACTGATATGCAGTATAACCATTGTCAGGTCATGACCCTGAACTGAGGTCAAATTTTCAAGTTGACCTTTCAAGGTCAAGTTATAGTTCATTCGAAGAGTCTTGACGAGAGGAACACGATGCCGGTAAAAGTAACCTCGTGCAAGGCTTGGTTCAAAACTTATTGCAGAAAAAACTGCTTTTTTTAAATCGGCTACTTTGGCAGTTTTTGCCCCCTGCAGACAAAACCGTTGATATTAGGTCAAATATGAGGGAATTATTCAGAAAGGGCGTTAATAGGGCTGTCGAATGCGCTTTTCCGCGGCGCTGTAGCTCTATTGGTTCCCGAGTTATGCGTTAGCTTCTTGGAAATTGTCGACATTCGACCTGAACATCGGCGAAATTTTGCCTTCAATGACCTCTTGTGACCTGACCTTTGACCTGACCAAAAAAGTGACTGAAATGATTTCGTCATTATTTTTGGCGCTCTTTTGAACACCGCCTTCCGCGTATCGCTACGTGGCCCAGGAGCCGAGCTAGAGGGGGTGTTCAAACACTCCCCCCCCCCCAGCAGGGCGTGGAAATCCAAGACCCCCAGTAGGGCGTGGGATAATGGAGATTAAATAACTCACTAGTACATAAGTCAGCGGCCGGATCCCACATAACCAGCCCCGCAAATCAAATTTCGACGGCCCTCCGTCCGACCCACCACCTAGAAACAACATGAACAGCCCACAACCGCCTCTGTCTGACGTCTGGATCGCAGCGCAGTTTTTCCAGGAAGGTACATATGTATTTACCTGCATTCCACTTAATGACGCATCGCACATCCGTCCTTTCGATCCTTAGGACAATTCCATCCTTATCCTTGAGCACGTTGACGCCTCCCTGTTCCGGACCTCCGGCCCAGGCAACCGGGGAGCTGCCAAGTTCCATTGTAGAGCGCTACATTGCCAGCCACAATATGGTCTTTCTGGGATCGGATCGTTTGAGCGGTTTGGCGGGCTGCACTACTAGGGCACTCCCGTCCGAACCAACGCGCCCAATCGTTGTTGCGCACGATTCAGTGGTCAAATTTGCCCAATGTCTCCCTTAAATATTCTTCCCCATGGTCCTGAGATGGTCGCAGCTCCCAGTGAAGAGCAGCTCACTAAGGATCTTCGGAAAACAACCAACCACCTTACAAAAGCTTACATACATGAATGCGCCAAATTTAAGGAAACACTGAACGCTCATTGGTCATAGGTAGATAGAAGTTTATTTCTGCATTTATCATTAAGAATCATATGAAGTATGAAGTGTGGACGTGAAAGCTAATGCTGCTTGATAGGCAACCGCCTGTTACAAGTTTGCCTTTAAGACGTAAATAACCGTAAAAAGCTGAGCTTAATTTACGCCTCATGGAAAACCAGAACGGTACCGCCGTACCCTTTGCGACGTTCACAATCCTCATTTGCCTGACTTTTCATATTCTCGGCTGTTTTAGCTTGCTCGAGAGTTTTGTCTCTCGAAGTCACATCGCCTCTGCACGCTGTTATACCCTGCTTCTTTTCTATATGGTCGTCTTTATTTGTTCTGGATACTGAAGCTTCATCGCTATGTGAGGTCGCGTCCTCGATATCTGGTGCGCCTCTTTTCATCAACAATTTTTCCACGTCTCCAAATTCCTTCGTCGTGTTGTCTTTTGCACGTTCTTGCTTCTCTAAAGCGGCACTCTTTCGTTCACCCGTCTTTGCGCATTTTTCCTCTTCTGGGAACGTTTGTGTCTCCTGTGATGTTATAGTTTTTCCAGATTCGGCACCTCTGTCACGATCATTGTCTGTAACATTCTCACCAGAATTGCTGCTTCCACTGTTCACGACCTCACACTCTCCTATAGCGGTGTCCTTAATCTCGTTCATTTCTTTCTTTTCCCCCTCCACCTCCTCTCCTTTCTCCCGTTGATCCGACGTCGTCTCCGTCATATCGCGGTACAGCATCAGCGCCGGCAGGTCGGTCAGCACGTCCAGCAGGGCGCAGCCGAGGTGCGTCATGAACAGCGCCACCGGGTGTCTGGTGAGCGCCGTGAACCGACTCCAGCCGCGCGACACGAACACGGCAGCAGCTACCGTGACCACCACGGCGCGCGTCACCGTGACCACGAACCAGGCGAGCACGAGGGCCGGCCGGCGCCGCTGCAGGCCCTGCAGCGTCACCGGGGCGGCCAGACAGGTCAGCAGGCACAGCGCCGACAGAAGACCGGCGCTGGTGTTCACCGGAACACGCGTGTCCTCCAAGGTGAAGTTGAGAGCGATTGACGAGTGGCAGAGCGTGATGTCAGAGTCGGCGGAGAGCTGGATGACGTCCTCCTGGCCGAGAAACTTCTTCTCGAAGTAGTTGAGCATGCAGTAGTGGCTGATGAGGTACTCCGTGTTGTCGATGACCTGGGAGAAGACGATGACGCAGGTCACCAAGGCGATGATGAATTTGATTACGACGACGATTCGCACCACCCTCGCGTTGCAGAATCTTGCTTTAGCACGCCGCAACAGTCCGGGCTCCACTTCCCGACTTCTTGAAGTCTGGCCGTCCTCCTCCATACCAACCACACTGTTCCTTTGTCACACCTACAAACCTATTGAAATGAATAAACACTGCACTGCGTCTGATCGATCAGCCCGGACCTAGGCCGACTGCGGCCTGCGAGGAGTCGCTGGCGTCGGCTTCACACCTCTGCCTCGATAGCTGAGATAGGCCGCGTGCCTTGGCCGAGGCTGGCCGGCTGGCGGGAGGCCAGGAGGGTACCGGCGCCGAGAGCACGCCCCACCGGGAGCCGAGGTGATGGTTTTTGTCCGGTGCGTCAGAGCGGGGTATCTGCGCGGCGCGGTACGTCAGCACCAGCCACAGCTCAGCCAAACAGAAACAGCTGGTCTGTTGGACGGGAGTTCGGTATCGAGGGCAGAGGTTCCAGAGCGTGCTGGATAGGTCCGGCTCGGTCTGGTAGCTTACTCAGACGATTGGTAGGTATCTGAGACGCGCAACGCACAGTGCCAAACTTTTACGTTGCTCTACTCTACCGTCTATATGTGAGTCAACCAGCCTGAGCTCCCGTTTCGATACACCGGTCCAGTTACCGTTGCATTGTTGGTGCACTTAGTACTTACATAGGCTTTTATCTATCGAAATTATCTATCTCTTTACGGTTAAATATGCCCACTTTGTCCCGATCATCGTCTGATATAACATCCCACAACTGGCAATGTGTGCATTGTGCAGCGAGGCATGAAACGAGGCAGGTTACAATCGGGATTGGAAACACAATGTCAACACCAGTCGGCTAATTCAATCACGGCGTAAGCTACCTCCTCATTAGCTGTGGCTATCTACGCAAACAGCATTGTAAACGTCCAGGCATCGACTATGATGGTTTCACAACATGCATCGTATACCAGAGTAGAGCTCCAGCGCCACTAACCCCCAGTGGCCACACACTGGACCGTTTCCCTCCTCCCGACATTCACCCCATCCGTCTCCGCGACCCCGTCCAACAATCACCCCATATCTCACGGGCCACGCTGCGGTCGACGTCCGCGTCTCGCTGTCCGCATTCAGCGCGCCCAATGGAGCGTGAGGAGCGCGTAGGGCGCCCAGACCGGACCGGTTACCATTCAGAGACACGGGCCAGATCAAAACTGTCATAGTGCGCCCCAGTGCTGTCCAGTAAACTCCCACGGTGCTGGCGGCGCGGCGGGGCGTCTCAGCCGATAATTGACCCGCGGCTCGACCATGGGGAGGGTGATATCTAGCTGTAGCTACTGTGGTACGCACGGGATAGAAGGCCTCCGGGAGACGGAGAATGGAAGTGCGGGAGAGATCGGACGATGTGGGCTGCTGGGGTTACGATGAACGATGGATGCATGGCTGTTTTGATGCTGCATTACTATCGGAAATGTGTTTGATGAATAAACGGAAGTTGAGTTGTATGCTATAATAGCCGTTTTCACGACGGCCATCTGGTACACATTTCGTGCACATCTGGTACAGATTAGGTGCAGATTTGGTCAAATCAGGTTCAGTGTGTCTCTTAGCAGCTATCAGCTAGGGTCGCACTAATTGCTTATGTGCCTGCTTTGTCATATAATCAGAGAGCATCATCGATTAAAACACTGAAATAAATTCATAAAATGAAGATATTTGCTGTAAAAGAAATTAGGTGCAGATTTGGTCAAATCAGGTGCATTCGCCGGATAGCCCGTCGTGAAACCGGCTATTATTTGTACTGGAAGTTCGTCGAAAACTAACGTCTTGAACATCCATGTATTTCGTAGGTGACATACTCAACAGTAGATTAACACGATGAGAACCATGAATTCGTTAAATATGACTAGAGGATATTCTAAGTACAGGCGAAACTAGTGGTGGGCACTACCTCGGATAAAACTACACTGTACAGTACACACGACTATATTTATCCATTAGAAAGGGGAGGGTACACGAACGTCGAACAGAACATAGTAGAGGCATTACTTACCTAACGCAGCATTCTCCAGACAATAAGTGCAGCTTTTATTAGCCCTTGAAGCGTATTTACAGAAGCAACAAGAAGCACAAAGTTGCATTCATGAATACCATTTTGTCATCATGAATATCGCTTCGGTCTTACGATCTGACATTCTCTCACGCCTCATAATACATAATTACTATCTGCTTGACATATGTATGACATAATTAGCAGTACCACATATCACACCACAGTCATACGCACCAAACTGCCAATCACGTGCATCACCTTCCACCGACCCGACCTCACCGTCACTTGTGCGGGGGCGGCGGCGGCGAGCGGCCGGGCTCGAGCCGCTCCTCGCCGACCCCCGCGGCCGACGGCAGACCGGCCGGTGTGCCCAGGCCGTAGCCGGGGTACGGCGGGAACAGGTCACTACCGCCCCACGGCACAGGGAAGTACGGCGGACGCGAGTACGGGTAGCGCAGGCTCGGGAAACTCATCATGGCCGGGGGCAGCTGCAGAGGGGAGAAGGCAGAGGGCGGCACCGGCGCCGGCGGCGGAGGAGGCTCGTCACGCAGGGCGGAGGCCGGCCGCGGCCGCAGCAGACTGTCTATGGCGTCCAGTGTGTTACCTGACAGCGGGAGGGGTAGAGAGGGTCAGTGAGTAGCAGGGAAAATGCGTGAGTCAGAGTGGGTAACGAAAAGGCAAACGAAAGTGGAATAGTATTTCGTAAGTGCAAGGGGCAGAAAAAGCTACCATACGCGTAAAGTTCCGTGCTGGTCTCTGATGATAACTATGGCAAATAAAATAATAGTTCAACGCCTAATGGTCTGCGACAACTCACCTCCGTGTGCTTTGAGTGCCTGTAGCAGCTCCACTCTAGATATTGACGGGAAGAGTCTGGACATGAGATCCAGCGATCGGTCCGAGTCGTAGTTGGGCTGGATCGCCCGCGGAGAGGTGGATCTCTCTGAGACCTGGATCGACGGAGTTGGTCAGCCAGCGATTTTAATTGAATGCTAACTAAAACATGCTTGATGTTTGGACGTCGTATACACTCGAGTTCTCGAGGCGAATAGGTTATACATTGGGACAAACGCCGGACCCTCACAGACACCATTGATCCCACACCTCAGTCCCTACCAAACAACTCTGCTCTACCAAACGATATCCCCAAACGCGCACTGACCTCGTCGTCTGAGCTGATGGCTCGCGGCGGCGGCTGGGTCAGTGACAGGGTCACCGGTGACCTCAGGTCCAAACTGGTGGCCGCGCCGCCATCCGGCTGGTACGGCCGGCCCTGGTCCCGCTCCTGGTCCCTCTCCTGGTCTCTGTCGTTGTCTTTATCATGGTCTCTGTCGTGGTCTCTGTCATGTTCTCTGTCACTGTCTCTGCCTCGTCCGACGGTCTCGGAGCGGGCCTTCTTTGCCGCTGGCAGACCTGCAACACGCCAGGCGGCAGCACGGGTCAGTCCTCGGTGTGATACCGCGGTCAGTGCTTGAGGGTGGGACACCAGGGCGCAGCACCTGCCGCAGTAAACGGTGAGGGTGCGATGCACGAGTCTTTGGATGTGGCTTTGAAGAAGCAGTCAGGGCTCTGGGCTGACTCAGCATTCGTCTGATCCAGCAGCTCAGAAGAAGCATCATTTGTGACAACAAATTGTTTGGGCAAATTTCAGCCTTGGAATGGTCTCCTGAGTTGGAATGGTATGATTATTGATTAGGTACTGTCTAATGCAAAAAGCCTTTCTCGGCAAATTCAGGACAGCATGCCTTAATTAGGAAAGCACATATGGCAAAGGAAGGACACTGGACACCGGAGTTTGGTCACCGAGATTCTGTTGAGCCAGCAAGATGATAGGTCCTCAGAAAAGGTTTAATGAATCTCATTCCCGGTTGCCGGATAAAACGGTGGGACCAGTAAAGACCAGTAAATTGTACAACAGTCGGTAATTACGAAGGGACAACGAACGTAAAAATTGAAGGCTAGTGCGATAAAATTGTTTCAACGACGCATTCTTAATACAAGAGGCAACTTTATATTGCATCGTTTACCAACCGCTATTCAAAATAGGCCACATTATATTCCATCCCATTACCTCGCTACCATCTGGAGCCAGAAGCCATGAAACTAACCACCAGCGTCCGATCTGTTATAAACAGGCAGTTCCTTTATCAACTCCCTCTGAAACACTTATCGCGCTTCATTAGCTCATTCTCATCTAGCTATCAGTTTCTCACTCCGCGGCAGCGCGGCGGCCCGCCCCCGGCTGCCTGCGCCACAATGGAGCCATCCGCGCCACTGCGCCACAGTCGTCGATCGGCGGCCAACGCGGCGCTACTCGGTATCACCGCGCCGCGGCTGGAGCTGGCAGTCAATTAATAGCCGCTGTAGCAAATGTGCTTCAAATTGATTGGAAGGGCGCGCTCTGAATGCGCTGGAGGCGCGCCGTTTTGCACCCGTGCGGCGCCAGAGTGGCCATAATGGCGCGGTGGCGGCGATACTGACGCGACGTGCCAGAAAAGGGAGGACGTGTCAGATACCGATGGCATTGGGATGACAGGGGTCTCACACAAACGATGAAAAATGAAAGAAGTCGGCGATGCTGGAAGAAAAGGAATCATTGCAGAGAGAAAAACGGTGGTCGTAATCTGCACTTTTAAAAATCAAACCATGGTATGAACCAATTATCGATTAAACACGGTTGTAAGTTGAGGCCGTGCCAGAACGCACCTCCTTACAGGTCCCGTGTAAATAGAAATACCACAGTTATGATATACCCAGCGCGGCGGTGGGTAGATGCTGTGCCGCAATACACCTGCAGTTAGACTGCACCGCAATACAATCGCAGGTAGATAGACTGCACCGCAATACACTTGCGGTGAGAGTGCAGACCGGGCCACAGTATGTATGTAAATAGTATGTACATCCATCGGAAAACTGCCTGCTCGGCCAGATATATGCATAGCTGTCTGATTGTGGGATTAACACCAATGGCATTCGATAAATAATATGGCAACAAACGAATGGTAAAGAGACGGTGCCTGTTAGCTTCGGTTACAGCTTGAGCTGACCCTATGATAAATTGCTTTTTCCGACTCCGAAGTTCTTTATAGTCCTTCGTGTGGTATTCTTTTGCCTATTGAAAATATTCTTGAAAATAGCTGGACCTTCTTTTCAACGACTTATCAGTTACCGACTAGTCAGTTATCAGTCACATCGAGTCACGCGACATTCGGTTATCACATAAGCCCTTTGGCGATATTATCCTCGGTGTTGTCCATCTATTCCTCGGGATGCTCGCAGAGCCCGTGTGTATTGCGGCCCACACGATGCAGCTACGTGCCAGCCGGCGCGCGTTTTTGCCCGATCTCCGCCCGAATGCCGCGGTGTCGGTCGGTGTTTCCGTTCATCGCTCTGTGGCGCGCCGTTCACGACAGTTGGCGCCAAAAATCCAATATGAATTCCTCGGCGCGTCGCGCCATTCCGTCGTTACTTTGGGTCTTCATACCGGCGCGGGAAATTAATTTGAAATGTGATAACAATAGACACAATAGAGCAGGTTATGGCCGGGAAGATAGTGATGGCACTATCGGGAGGCGCGGCACGCGGCCGGCGCGCGCTTTATTGCGCGGCTATTGTGGTAATCGGCGGCGATGGTGGCGCACTCCGTCACCGGACGGCCATGTGCCGGATAAACATGGCTCCTTGCTCAAGAGTTATTGAAAAATTAATGGCTCACAGCGAGGCGACGACCAAAAAGAAGGAGTGTTTTCGGCGGCTGGAATTTTATAATGAAGTAGTGGCTGCACTAAAAACGCGACAGCGACTTCGTGAGGAGACGGAGCGATTGTCAAATTTGACGACGCGAGAGGCCGTGGTGTCGGTGCCGCGGCGCGGAGTCAATTACACTGCGAAAATGACGCCGGCTGCGCGCCGCCCAGACGTTATAGGAATAACTGCAGGGATTAAGAGCGCCTATATTGCGAGCCAGATAGAAAGGAGGGTGGATCAAAAGTTTGTCGAGATTTCGCCAGGCCAGCTTGTAAAATTCAACTGGCAAATGTGTTCAGCAAAAGGAGATAACGAAAATTACATAGGATCGGGCCCAAATGATAATGCAGAAAACCCTATGCAAATATGAAATAAATGCCTAGCTGCTGTTTAAATTTTCAGTTGCAAACTATGAAAATGCGTATTCACAATTCAAACTGCAAAGATCTTCTGCTACTTAATGTTTTTATTTGAAAGTTAGGGCAGTCAATCAGAAACGACAGTGTTTCGCTGACATAAAACAAAATACCATTTTCTGGTTTTCCGAAAATAGTGCGTCTTCTTTGCCGTTTCTTTTCTTTTGCTTAGCTTCTTGTTCCAGTTAGAATGAAAAATATCTTCGGAAATAGAAGCAATCATTCATTATAGCAATTAACCCATTTATGCCCAGGAATATTGACCATCATGAAAATCGATGAAATCAAGATATGTTACGCTTCTACCAGGGTCTTGCATGGAATCGAAAATAATTTTTGCCGGCAGCAAAAGTTTTTCGAGAAAAACGTAAAAAACGTGCGTTGCGAAATCGCAACGAAGGGCACACCGGGCGCCATCAGCGTTGCGAAAACGCAACGACGGGCACATCAGACGGACATAAAGTACACTAAACCGCCGTATATGCTAGTTTGTTTTAACATATATTTCACCAACTGTTGAAAAATATTGCTTGAGAATGCGGAACCGACATCCCTCATGCTTTATTACCCGTCTAAGAGCCTCAATGAGGGAGCATAACTTAAGGGTTCGCGAACGGGTAGATGGCAACAGACGGTCATTATCAACAACAATTGTCCATTTAAAGTACCTAGTGGTCGGCACGTACCCTGGGCGGTGCTTTCTTTTTGGAAGTTAGACAGAGCCATTAGCCCATTACCCTCTTATATGAGAACCCCAAACTGAAAACAATTTAACCGAGGATTGGGAGTAAACCAGTGCCTCGCCTAAGCGCCTATCCGCAATACCATTGTTAACCACCCTCCTAGGAGTAAAGACAAATTCAAATGCAGGGTAGTCGTGCCCACTCTTAGCAAAAAATGAACCTATCCGGCTTTCACAAATTACCCGCGTAAGGCGTAGCGCGTCATAACAACTCAGCTTAAAGTGTCTCCCAGGACCCATTTATCACTTTTACACCTAATCCAAAATTTTCATTGTCCCACTCTCAGCGACCTTCACACTTGTAACCTCTTTCTCGAGACAATGCCAGGGCAGACTGGTGATTCGACGCAGTTCACAGTTTCCAAGTGCTCCGTCAATCCGTCCTTTTCATCTTCAGGATAGTAGAATCCTTCTCCTTCATGCCTCAATCCCTGTTTCGAGCTGGACGGGCAACTATATCGCATTCGAGCAGCTCACATAGGAGCACAGGTCTGTAGCCGGATACAGAAAGTGCTTGGGAAGGGGGGGGCTGGTTCATGGGTGCCTGGATGGATGGGCTCAGCCTCGACGATTCACCATGCCCACCCAGACCAATATTTTCCGTAATTCCAATAATGCTTCCAGCTTTAAAATAGTCTAATCAGACAAAAGGCCTACCCTCAGTAAACAAACAAGCAATGCTTCACATCAACCACCTTATCAATCCGTGCAAACCATGAATTCTAAAAATAAACTATTATTCTCCAGACGCCCTCATCACCCCTGCCGAAGGGGTCTGTTGCCCCCCCCCCCCCCCCCCCCCGAGGGCGAGGGGGCATATCCCACATTTGCCGACTCTGGGAGTTATCTTTTCTTACGTAAGGGCCAGCCAGCGGATTGTATCCAAAGAATGACAATGCCTATCTGTCGTCTGATACCAGACTACGTCCTCATTATTTAGTACAAAGTAGATCCAATTTTCAAAGTACCTCGCTATCTCTCAGCTCCGTTAGCATCGCCGACCGTTTGATGCAGGTCCTTTTCCTACCATGCGATTTTCAGATGCTCGAAAACCCATTGCTTAGTGAACAGCCCGATAATCTGCGAGAGAAAAAGAAATGAGTGTTTGATAGCTGTTTAAGTGAGTTAATGTGAAACGTATCGCAACATTCACGTGCAAATGCACCTTGCACTTTACATACCTACACATCCCTCACGACTACGAAACGAGAGGGAGAGAGAGAGAGAGAGAGAGAGAGAGAGAGAGAGAGGGAGAGAGAGAAAAAAAGAGAGAGACAGACAGAGAGAGAGAGAGAGAGAGAGGGGGGAGAGGGAGGGAAGGAGAGAGAGTTGGGGGAGCGTGAAAGAGAGGGAGGAAGATTGGGGAGAGAAGGAAAGAACCCACAACGTATCACAAGTGAAGTCTATTTGATGTTCCTATACTTCCGCTGCCCTGCCAATTTGCCCCTCGTTGCGTTTTCGCAACACCCCTGTCTTTCCGATGTGCCCAACGTTGCGTTACCGCAACACGACTGTAGTCAAATTTGAAAATAGTCACAAACCCTATTTGCAGCAGAATTTGTTAATAAAATGCATATTCTAGCTATTGTAGGGACTCTGCAGAATATGTTCACACAATATTCATTACGATATAATTAATCACTTAATCTACTTATTTTGGTTTTCGTGACGTCATCACTGACGGGACCTACGACTTCCCTCTGGGAGCTCTGGACGGTAAGTTACCGGCCGCACAGACTTATAACTGCGTAGCATCATGCGCGCAACCATGCTAAGCGCGCTGAAACTTGTCTCATCGGTGAGACGCCATTATACACTTCTCAAGATTTGATCACGTCGACGCTTGCCTGTGTTGCGAAAACGCAACGAAGGGCGTAAATGGGTTAAAATTGGGTGATTACTTTTTACACTTATGCACTTAAATTACTTCCCCAAAAATGAATACATGGTAGATGAAACCACTCTTATAAGTTTTTTTTTTGTGTGTGTGAATGTCTCGAAGACCTCCGCAGACAAATACGACGGACTAGACGGCTTTCCTATCCTACAATAGCTTGTGGGATAGAAAAGTGTGTTAAAGATCTTAAAGATCTAGCGAATGCTTTCGTAATAAAAGCGCGATATTGTAAATAATATCTGTTTTCGACTTACCAAGGGTATGATATAAACAACTAACGTTAATTCGATTACGTCTCAAATAGAGATGCACCAAATTTGCAATTTCATTACCCGCCCCGCCCCGCAGCTACCCCTTGCCCAACCACAACTACCCGCAAGCTGATTTTGGCTGAGCCGAACCCACAAAAAACCCACAATTTTAAAAACCTGCCTTTGCAAGAAAAAATACAGCTGGGTCAATGCTAGAGCTATATAAACCTTACTTGCTTCATTGTTGTGCAGAAAAAGACAGCCAAACAAATAGTAAGGACTTGAAATTGCTATGCTAAGTCCTCAGGAAGTGCACACTGGATAATGGAAAACGAATAATGCATCAATACATTTGAAATTCCTTTCTGAAAAGAATTCAGTAAAATCTTTCTCTCACCTTACCCTTCAGCATTGGCTGAGGATCAAAATTTCACTCTGGTTCCTCTCAATGTTAGGCTTCTGGAATGATACTGTTATCAAAATGAATGTTGATATAAAAAGATATGCGATTTCCAGTTAAAAAGTGACACGGTGAATAATGCGTATCCAGTCGATCTACACATAAAACAAATCATGCAAAAGCCCAGCAAAAACCAACTAACCAATGAACCACGCATTTTTGGAAACATGCGTCAGAAGCGTCACCAACAGCTGATTGCAAGGAATGTTACAGCGACTAAATTATTGCAGCCGTAGTTAGTGCGAACTTGTTGCGAAAACACCGTTGTATAATGCATATTAATGTGCCATTCTGATAATATTATCTTACACAACAGCTAAACTTTTACAATTCAGAGGTTAATCACCGGTTAGGAAATAAAGAGACAGTAAATACTAAATAAAATGTAATAATTTTATAGTTGGTCTTGGTAATGCTCTCCGGCTGATCCTCTCTCGGCAATCGGCATACAAATGATAAGGACGTAAAAAGACAAAAGAAATAAATGCGACCAGCTACGTGGTTTTGTAACATGTATAACTGCTATTTTGAGGTATTCAAAAACCAAGACAGAAAAATTGATTGTAAAATTATTATTGCGTCATCAATGACAGCTTTCCTTCGCTTCAGAGACCAAAATTGACGCAGTCAAATGCCAATCCTTGTCAGAATGTCGAAAGTGCGCCAGTATTGTATTGCGTTATGTTTGGGCCGCATGCCAGTCAATATTTTGATTTTTTGTAAGGGCAATTGCAGGTAATTGGTGTGTTATTTTCGTAATGTAGGGTGGGACAGAACATAGAGTAGGATAGGTAATCAATTAATTTGCATCAATTTTTTTTTAGCTCTGTTTTATGCCGACCAGACGCAAATAAAGTAACATGTGGCATTTGCTCTGATTTTCAACATCAACAATAACATCTCATTTTAGTCTGGGCTCTTCCATAATGTATATCTAGTGCACGCTGCACATAGACTTCAGTTCAGCTTCCTATAAGTTTGCTTTCAGGTTCTTTAACGTTTTATGGAATGCTTTCATCAGCATTTATTTATGCTTTGTAGTTTGTTGTTTGTACTTGGTACCCTGGTTTGGTCATTGCTAGACTGTAGATGCTATTGCTGGTTGTTTTCAGTTTTGCATTTGAAATTTGCTTCCTTGATATATTTTTATATTTGGTTCTGTTTTAAAAGTTGTTTTGATGAGTATTGTATTGTTAACCTGAGCAAATGCACTTGGCATTGTGTTTTGCATCTAAAAAAAAAATTAAAGGTTCTAAAGTCTGACCGCCAAATACCCGCCACACGACAAGTTTTGCTTCTCGAACCCGCCAAAAACCCTGCGGGTTTTGAAAACCCGCAGAAAGCGGGTTTGCGGGTTCAAAAAGGGCATCTCTAGTCTCAAATGAAGCGAAAAAAATACCTTGTCAGTGATTTTATTAAGGATGAATTTAAAAAGTTGTCATTTCATGCTTTGTTATGCTATATTACAACATTATCTTGGAGTGGATTATTTGGCCCTCTATAAAAACTACTTTTTAATCACAAATTTTCACTGCATTTGCTCTTGGATTACGCCATATCATATCATATCAGCCATACGCCATATCAACGTGACTTTGTTGTGCCGTGCTGTGTTTGTATCTTCATGTGTCACGGTTATGTTATGAAGATATGTTCTCCTTGTTTTGTCCTCAAAGGATGTCAAATAATTATGATGATGATGATGATGATATGGCCTCAAATGCGCGTTACATTTAGGTGTCATTGATAAGGAAAAGATCCTTCGACCCTCAGAAAAATATTGACAACCAACAATTACGATTAGGTATGAGGAGCCGTTAAAATGACAGGTTCCATTTCCGACAAAATCAGGTTTTGGTGTCGAGTACAATGCGTCGGTAACTCTGACTCTGACTCTGGCTCCAACTCCTGGTAAAATGTGCCGGTACCGGCTATTACCAGCAATGGTGGGTAATGGGTAGGTATGGCTCTGGTAGTTATCTGACATCACAGTCGTAATCAGCCCATATCATTTGCCTGATTTTTCTTTTTTGTACTCATTGCATGGCACGCAGTTATTAAAATGCATATTTCGTTGAATACGGGACAGAAGTGTTTATTGCATTCATTATGATTATTTCACAGTTTCATATTTCTAATATTTCATTTTGAGATGCTTCATTTTCCATCTCATCCGAAAACATAAAGCAGCGTTTATGCATGGCCAAATGACGAACAATTGCAACGAAATGCCCGTGGTAAAGAGCAATCTAAAATGAAGAAGTAATGGTCTAATTGGACTTTTGAGAACAACGCTGTCGATTGCGATAACGTTTAGAACTCCGCCTAACTATGGAAGGAGAAATATTCAAGAGGCATTTGTTACAGCAGCCCCAACTTTAAACAAAAGTGGCCAGCCGATTAGAAGGCTTGTAACTTTGCTGTCAATACGAATCATAAGAGCCCACTTATGAAATAAAGAAGTTACTTTGAGGAAGACAAGTGGCATTGATGGTTGATATTCGAAAATCACACACAGAGTCCAAAATGTCGAACCAATGATCGTGTTTCTGAGGACGCTGTAGAGACGCTCTCAACTTAAACTATTTGCAATAATTTTTGAAAATCAGTGAGTCTGTCCATGCACTTGGATAACCGGATTGACCAGCAACTGATGAAATTCCCTTAAGATTCCTCGCCACATCATAACCGTTAATCCATTTTGAAAAAATCATCTTGAAATATTCGACTTATTTTCAGTTTAATCACCTCAAAAAGGTGAAGTGAATCAATGCACTGCCTGTAGACGATTCCATCAGAACAAAATAATTTCATGAGAAAATGAGTGAATTTTCACGTTCGATGGTGGAAAATGATCACCGTGCTTTAAAGCATATTGGATGTCATTGACCAATGAGCACAACTTTTACGTTTTTGGACCCAGATTGAACAATGAAAAGCACAATAACGAAAGCAGTCGTCCAGCATGCTCGGTGCACACACGAACCAAGCGCTAACGAAACCAGCCCGGGGGCAAAAGAACCAACCACTAAATTTGTTCATTTCTTTCCATACACTTTTATAAGCGCCATTGTCTAAAATCTAACCCCAAGGCTGGGATGTGGCCCACTAATGCCCACCCGTCTGCAGTAGCGGTGACTGGAAAACGCAACACCCGAACATGTAGTGTGTTGAAACCAGGCAGACATGGCATCCCCCCCCCCACAAAAAGCCGCGTCACCGCGCCCTTACCGCGGTCCATCTCAGCAGCACCGTGTTCGGAGGTTGTCTCGGTGTGTGTTCCGGGCGGGGGCGGGGGCGGGGGCGGCGACCCGGCCGACCCGCCCATCTCGGCCGGCACCGGGAACACCACGCCCAGCTCGCGGAGCTCGTTCTCCTCCTGAGCCTGCTGCCGGCGCAGCGCCACCTGAGGAGAGGGGAGGTCAACAACAGGTCAGCCCAGAGGCGCAGCGCAACCTGAGGAGAGGGGAGGTCAACAGGTCAGCCCAGAGGAGCAGGGTCACCTGAGGAGAGGGGAGGAACAACAGGTCAGCCCAGAGGCGCAGGGTTACCTGAGGAGAGGGGAGGTCAACAGGTCAGCGGAGAGGCGCAGCCCGCAGGGTCACCTGAGGAGGAGAAGGGGAGGTCAAGAGGTTGACTGAGGGGTTTAGCAAGTCAGTGAGGGGCGCAGGGCCACCTGAGGAGAGGGGAGGTCAACAAGTCAGCATAAAGGTTTAGCAGGTCAGTGAGGGGCGCAGGGCCAGTCGGGTAGGGTGCAGCAGGCTAGTGAGGGTGGAGAGGGTCAGATGAGAGGCGCAGGGTCACCTGGGGAGATGAGAAGAGGGAGGGACAGCAGGTCAGTGAGGGGTTGGGTAGCGCAGAACTACCTGAGGAGAGGAAGGACAAATCAGGTGAGAGGAGCAGCAGGTCAACAGAGGGATGCAGGGATCCCTGAGGAAGAGTACCAGATCAGACCGAGGAGGACAGCCGTCTGTGGACGGGTGCAGCAGGACGGATGCTGGACAGAGGGGCGTAGGCAGAGAGCACGCCCCGACGGACAATAAACGAGAGTTCTAGGTAACATATCGGAGGAGTTAGACTACAAGACATTACGAAAGCAAAATAGCAAATAAATAACACTTCCCCAAGAGACCGTTATCTTTTTAGCAATGTCACTTCTCTGTATCAGTATTGAAATCAACATCGAACAGTCAAAAGCACAAACTGGAAACACAATAAGCACTCAATTATCTCACACCTCGCTGCGCCGTCCCCTGCCCTGGTCCCTGTCTGTTCCGATCCCCTGTCCCTGCCCCGGTCTCACCTGGGCAGCCATGACGCGCTGTCTCTCGGCGATCAGGGTGCACTTGCAGCAGGCGCAGTCCCGGTACCGACAGTAGCGCTTGTGGCCCTTCAGGGCCGACACGATGCCATGGTTCCTGCAGCGCGCACACTTGGGCGTGCGCTGGTAACGCTCTGAGGCGCGCAGAAACAGAGGAGAGAGACCGCCGAGCACCGCCTGACTCAACAGAGAGCCGCCCGTGGCAGCCAGGCTGATGGGCACCTTCGACGAGTCCATGGCGACTCGGAGTTGGCAGCGGGAGGAGGGGTAACGGAGGCACGCCAATGCGCGCTGCGGCGAGGAAATCTACTCGGGGAAATGCGGATACCGCGTGCTGTGATGCGCCACGAAAGGCGACCTACTGAAACCTATCGTCTGAAAGTGACGCTGAGACTGATACAAGCTAGTGTCTGTATCCTTCCCGGCCAGGGACCCGGGAGCCGACCACCGCGGCCGATCGCTGTCGTGCCTAAGGACACATCTCGCCGTGTCGGGCTGTCGGCAGCGGCAGAGGTGGCCCCTCCCCTGGTCACAGGCCGGCTACAGTGCCCGACGGCCGCTCCGCCAATCAGCGCGGCGCTCGGGCGAGGCCCCGCCCACCGCGTCCGGCGGCCGCCCTGTCATGAGCCGAGCTGTCTATGGGGACGGGGAGGGGACACCGATGATACAGAGAATGGAGGGATCTGCCAGCTTTGAGCGTACTCACAGCGAGTGGAAAACAGCCGATATTTGCAGCCGATGGGGCGATAATTTTTTTCATATCTCTGTCATCGTTGTAAGTCAACGAAGTTCAGGAGTATCGGCTTAATTAATGGGTCCGCAGTTGGGTAGGTAATGGGCACAGTGAGCAGAAGCCAGAGTAATGATTGACATTAAATAATATGTTGGCGAACCGCTAATAGGTGCCACCCAAAGTGCTGTCACATTAGCATTCAACGCATTAGCCATCCAGTCCAACTCTTCGTCCAATCCGGAGGAACTGGCCGTCTAAAAAGCACAGTAGGGGAAAGTGACCGCCACCGTAACTTTGGAGCAATTTTTCGACTGCTCAGAAAAAACTGAGACGTGAAACTGAGCGAAAACGTCCTTTAGACATTTTACTTTCATTTGCCAGAAGATGAGACTTCTGATGCAACAAACACATTGTAGCTATTTTCGCAAAATGTTGCAAAAACCGTATTACCCCCCCCCCCCCATCCCATGAGGTAAAACGGCCATGTGAGTAGGGTAAGACGGCCAGCCTGCTTCAGCGACCGGGACAGTTAGTAATACATGCCCAAGAGTAGCCGCAATGATACGGGCACTCGTTGGTCACAAGTGCTTCGGGAAATGTAATGTACGGGATTCGCGCAGATTACGCCTGCGGCCTGCTCGTGCATTATGAGCCAAAGTTCAGAAAGTTTGCATAGCTTTCTTTCTTAGTATTCTAGAGTAGATTGTATGTGTGAATATTCCTAATACCTATGTGTGTGTGCATCGAAATCGAACATTTTCTTTTTTTAGCAAAAAAAGGTTATTTTTCTACGGCTAACACTTATATTTTTATAAGTAAAAGACCCATTGGATCCTGCTTGGCGGATATTTACCCCAGCCTCAGTGTCAGAAGTTTAGCACTATTTTTATCCGAGGACAATTTGCTGGAAGTGGAGCACGGTGAATGAACATGGGTGGCATATGAGTACCTATGTATACCACAGAGATTACGAGTTTTTGACTCTATATGGAGCTGCTCACAAAAGCTTACACAATATGCTATAAATGTTTTCAATGAAATGGGTGTATTCGTATTTCTATTTGTACTTTGAAAGTCCCCAACAGACATGTATCCACTTACAGGCGAAGTCAATCTATAACATCAAATAATAATGCTTAAGTCGGGAAAAATAGTCAAATCTTGGAATGAGCTTTCCCTTCACAGTATCTTTAGAACTCCTTATACATCTTGGCAAAATGTCACAAAGGTGGAGATTCAACATTGAATCTTGAGATGATGTTAAACGAAAGCTTATTTTAAGAGCAGTGGAAAATTTTTGACGACTTTTAATTTTTGTCAGAAGAAACCAATTTACATGTTAACCCGCGCCCTGATGGGGGGGGCCATTTTGGCCCCCCCCTGTGGTTTTTCTTAAATAGCGAGAAAACGGCGGCGCGCAGCGCCGCCAAATTTTGGGTACCTTACCGGGCATCAATTTGACACCTTCACACAAAATTTCAAGTCACAGGTCACCTCAGGTCAGGAGTTATTGAGGTCAAACTGAGGTCATGTTCGAGTAAAAATGAGCAAAAAACATGACATCTTTAAACGCTCACAAATTCTACAGTTAACAAGCAATTTTAAAGTTCTTTATGTGGTTGTGTAGAGAAAAGACGGCGCTACAAAACTGCTATCTCGGATTTTCGAAATTCTGGGATTTTGACCCCCAAAAATCAAAAAAATTGATTTTTTTTTAGAAAAACTCAAAAAATTTCCAAAAAATTTTCGAATTTCGAAAAAACCGGAATATATGTGATAGTCCCTGCGCTCTTCGATATACATACCAAATTTTAGATCGATGCCTCTTTTTTTGGCCAAGTTATAGCGAAAAAAACTGTTAAAAATTGATGACGTCAAATTTTTTAACTCAATTTCTAGCAATTCTAGACCTCGTAGCGCAAAACGGAGATCACCATTGAACTCCCCGTGACGAGCTGCATCGAATCGATACCCATTTTATGCAAAAATATCAACTTTGAAATTTGACCTAATTTGACCTGACCTTGACCTGACCTTGACCTGACCTTGACCAAAACGTGACCTAAGCTGGCCCTAAAGTCTGTCTGACCCACATAATCGCATTTGTCATGTAAAATGGACCATAAAACATGTATCACACGACACTTTCATATTGTGACCCCCCAGTGACCTGACCTCTGTGACCTGACCTGGTATCAGTGACCTCAAATAGCAAAATATGTGTTTGAAGAACATTTCCCCATCGATTATTTTCAATGAAATGCATTTTACTCGATTTTACAACGCATTTCTTGAAATGCCTGTAAACGGTGAAAATTCGACCTTTGACCTGACCTGTGACGTCATCGGTTTGACCGAGGTCAATGAAATTGGGTCACAAGGTAGTTCCCCGTTGGGGCTATCCAACACCGTTTACCGCTTGTCGCTATGTTGCGTGGTTCTCGAGATCTGAGGGGGGGGGGCCAAAATGGCCCCCCCATCAGACCGCGTTGCTCGGCAGACCCCATCTGGGCGCGGGTTAACCCGCGCCCCGTAGGGCTACCGGCGGACGCTACCACCCGTAGGGGGGGGGGGGGCGTTTCGGCCCACCCCTAAGATCTCGGAAATTTACCGGCCGGTTTTCAAAACTCCACCAGGGAACTAACTACCTTGTGATCAAATTTCATTGAACTAGGTCAAACCGATGACGTCACAGGTCAGGTCAAAGGTCGGATTTTTACCGTTCACAAGCATTTCAAGAAATGTGTTGTGAACTCGAGTAAATTAGTAAGGTTTTGAAAACCATCGATGGTACATTGTTCGTCAAACACATACTTCGCTATCTGAGGTCACTGATACCAGGTCAGGTTACAGAGGTCAGGTCATTGGGGGTCACCTGAGGGTCACAATATGAAAGTGTTGTGTGATGCATGTTTTATGGTTCATTTTACATGACAAATGCGATTATGTGGGTCAGGCAGCCTTTGGGGCCAGCTTAGGTCACGTTTTGGTGAAGGTCAGGTTGCAAGGTCAGATCAAATTAGGTCAAATTTCAAAGTTGATATTTTTGCATAAAATGGGTATCCATTCGATGCAGCTCGTCACAGGGAGTCCAATGGTGGTCTTTGTTTTGCCCAACGGGGTCTAGAATTGACAAAAATTGAGTTTGAAAATTTGACGTCATCATTTTTGAACAGTGTTTTCGCTATAACTTGGCCAAAAACGAGATATCGATCTGAAATTTGATATGTAGGAAGACGGTAGGTGCTATCACATATATTCCGTTTTTTTTTTGAAACTCAAAAAACTTTTTGGATTTTTTGGCTAATATTTCCAAAAAACTGCTTTTTTTAATTTTTGGGGGTTAAAACTCAAAAGTTTCAAAAATCCGAGATAGCAGTTTTGTAGATCTGTCAATTCTACACCTTTTATGTCTTGATCATTTTTCTGTATCTTCAAAGCTGTAGGCCTGACAGCTCTTCTCGCGAAGGTCTTTTTTTGGTCGAAAATGGCAGAACACGACGTCATTCTGACGTCATTTGTGGCCAACCTATCATAGCCTCTGGAGAATTTTTTAAACACAATGTGTAAAATTGATGCCCGAAGGGGTCCTGAAAGTTTGGTGGCGATATCTCCAGTCGTTTAGGAGATATTGACGGAAAAGGACAGGGAGGGGCCGTTTCGGCCCCCCATACGGGGCGCGGGCCATGTTATCGATAATTTCTTTCTACTTCTAAATGCACATTCGCTACAACAATTAGATTACCTTGATGGATTGGCTTTTGTAATATCTTAAAAACTATGAGGTAAGCAAATCAACATTTAAACATTCCTGCAAATCTTCAAAAAGGAAAGTCGAATTGATTTCGGTCTTGCTCATCCACCGAACATTGATCGAACTCATTCTAATCGAACGAAGACCATCACTATCACAATACCGTGATCGTTTATTCGTGGACTCAACTCAGTCGTGCGTAACTGACGACATACATGTGCATTGTGTCTGTCATCTCCTCTGTCACCTCGGAGTCCGAGTGATTTGCCGGCAGATATCGGGGTGCCCTTCTCGGCTGGCGTGGCTCAATTGGGAGAATCCGGCTCGACATGCCCCACTCAGAGCCCCAACTTACTCAGAACATGCCATAGGTATGTACCTCCTAATGTTCATATCATTAGGTGCTGGAGATTGCAGGCGCTCCCCATTAACGAGCGGACAGTGACGCGAACGGTGGCGATCCACGGCGTGGCGTCTTTTTAAAGGCTGTGAAGCCCGCCTTCGAGTGTGTGCGATCGCTGGATGTTGCATGTTATAAGAATTGTTTCTGCACTTGTTTGTTGTGCGTACACTGAAAACAATTTAACCCAAGGCTGGCGAGTAAACCGGTGTTTTACGGGTACCCCTATCCGCAACCATTTTTAACCACCCTCCCAGGAGTAGTGCTAGGTCCCATTGCGGTGTAGTCGTACTTGCTCTGAGCGGATATAACCGCTGTCAGCGAACAAGTCCGCTGAGAGCAGGGACGACTACACTGCAATGGGACCTTACTGTACTCCTGGGAGGGTGGTTAAAAATGGTTGCGGATAGGGGTACCCGCAAAACACCGGTTTACTCGCGGGCCTTGGGTTAAATTGTTTTCAGTGTAAGTTAAATGAAAATCATACGATGGGTGAGATTTTAACGTGTATGACTGTAAGCGAGGCACAAGAAAACAGGTGTTTTCGGACGTGCATTTCTCCGCAGAAGTAGGTATAAATGCCGGAAGAAGCAAAATACGAAAACATGTATATTTTTACATTTTCTTCCAACGCTGTAATTTTCTAAGGAACCGAACGGTGCCTCATTAAAACACACATTCGTCCCACTGAGACTGCAGTTTACTTCCTTTTCGCCTCAGATGAATATGACTGCAGTTTTAGAGGAGGCTACAATAATTTAGAGTGATCTTTAAACTGCTTATAATTGCAGCGCATTCATTCAGTGCACGCAGCAGAAAAATCTGGTCGTTTCCGGCCGTCTTTTCAAGAACTTTTAAAAGTGTTCAGAAAGGTTAGAAAACAACCCGAACTCCACCACCACAGTGTATAATTACTTCTCATTAACGGCAAAAATCCTGCCTGAGAGTGCTCCGACTCTTGGTCGCGGTTAGCCGAGTCTGGCTCTTGCTGCTCCCTCCCTCTCCCGAGTGGAGAGGATAGGAGTTACCGTCTCGTCGAGCTGTCGGGGCGCGGCCCGTCTACATTTCGGCGCCCCTATGTCCGCCGCCGTCACCGCAGTGGCGTCCCACGGCAATTGTACCTCTGCCGGTGGCTGGGCGGCGCTGACGGACGATCTGACGGGCCGACAATGCCTCCCCGCTGACGGGGAGGGCCGCGCACGGGCGCCGGGATGCGCGGGGAGGGGCCGCCCGGTGGGAGGTCGGCGCGCGGGGTTATTAGTGCGGCTATCTGACTGTGAGTCTTTGTGTGTTACCCAGCCACAGAGAACATGTGAATGCTCAGTGACTAAATACCGGTCGTCTCCAGTTAATGGCCAGTCGCTAACCACAATGCGGCGTTTGTTCAAATTTAATCAAATAATGCCTAATGGGTTATGTACTTCTTTCTGTTTCGCAGGTCGGTTATTAAAAACGGCTTCAGCTAAACGGTGCAAACAAAACAGATGAATGCGAATTAACGGACTGAAAACGGAGGGAATGATGCAGTGTGCAGATGTTTTCATTTTCAAACGAGAAAAAAGTAGAAAAACTCGTCATGACTGGGATTTTACAGCAGACGGTATTTACAAAGGCAGGCAAGGTGCCCCATTTGCATGATTGCCGTGCTTATTAGGCGTCGTAAAGATATGATGCAAGCATATTTTCAGGCTTGGCTCTTCATTTTCTATACCAGATAAAATTCAGAAGGCTTCGTTTGACAGCAACTCTCAAGTGGCCAAGTCCGAACTCCGAATGCCTATACTTTGTAAGGTTAACCTTTTCAGATATGTAGTCCGCAGAAGACTACGAACTACTGCTTACATGAAAATCTTTAGAAATTAAAAAGATACTCTTTATTCATTTGTGCAACAACTGGCGGCATTGA